TTTCTGTAAGATACTAATACATTAAGTTCACACCATGTACATTACCTATCCAGATAAGTAACATCATTGACAAAAAATAATAATAGATTAATAATACAAGATTTTCCTTTGGTGAACACATGTTGGCTTTCTTTCATATCAAGTTTCACTAAATGATTGTGTAGAACCTGTTTAGTCATTCTCTAGAATTTTCCACTAAAGAAATAAAACTAACTGGCCTATAATTTTCAGGGCATGTTTATCACTTCTTTTAAAAATGGGAGAAGCATTAGAACTCTTCAATCCTCAAGCACCTGGTCGATATCAATACTTGTATATAACATGAAACAAACTTCACAGTCCTATCATTATGAAGCATTTGTTAAAGTTTCAGAAACTTACACTTATTATAACATAACAATGTTATGGGACAACATGGAACCTATTGGTCCACCTCAGCTGTCCCTAAATATTGAAGTTATCATACATATTAAGATTACTAACTATCACTGTAGCAGTCCATAAACCACAAAAAGTCCCTAAAAGCATCAGATAGTGTATCTGACTTAGATTCTGAATATTGAACAAAACATTTGTACTCCTGCATCAAGGTTTTTATGCTTCTGCCTTCATTTTCAGTGCCAGCTTGGATTACTGATGTAAATTTTGGAGACATTAAGCATAAAGTTTATGTTATGTGCATATATTTCATAATAAACCATAAATAAAGTCTTATTACTACTACTTATTAAAATTCAGTATCACTGCTTTACACATAAAAAGTAATAGTAGTTTTGGTTTGGTTGTTGTTAAGTGCAAAGCTACATAATGTACTACCTGTGCTGTGTTCACCATGAGTTTCAAAACATTTCTATTTAGCATCCTAAGTCTTTAAACTTACTACTAAGCCACTAGTGGGAGGGGGGCATTAGTAGTAGTAATACTACTATAATTTGAAAAAAGTTTGTTCTCAAACTCCTAGGCTTTTGTATTTGAACTTGTCAAATATCATGGTTTAATCAACTAGGAATGATTCAGGATGTGTCAAGAAGTCATTTTTCTTTCAAGATGCATGGATTTCATAGCTACATATAGATCAGTCAGTGGAGGTGGCCACTGGGGGTACTGATGGATAAATATAGGCCAGTCAGTGGTGGTGGCCACTACGGGTACTGATGGGATTTTTCCAGTTTCCTCATTCATTACATTACAGTCTATGTATTTTCAATCATTACTGGCATATTTAGGATAAAAACAGAAATACTATTTACAATTTTAAGTTACAGCTTTTACAGTAAGGAAGAATATTTGTAAAGGAGGTAACTTGAACATCAGGTTAAAAGAACACCAAAAACCCATTCCGAAGTCTTTGTACATATGAACAAAAACAAACACAGCATTTCTCAACAGAATGTCACAATATTAAACATAAACCTGACATTAACAGAAGAAAAAACAGAGAAGCCTTTCCAATAAAATCAAACAATCCCACAATTAGCAAATACCCAGGTACATCTCTATATGTCTTTGATTGTTATTTTCCCAGACATTCCTAATCTTATGCAAATATTTTGCACAGCATTTACATATATATTCACTATTTTTGTTGTTCTCTTGTTCAGTCAAGAATAAATAAATGCTTGATATGCACATGCATAAGTAATCATTATAAATTCTAAAATTTAAATACATTATTAGGTTCTTGAATGTTGATTTAAATAATAAAACCTTCTTTACTATCAAAACTTGTGTTCTCAAAAATGATTGCACAGTGATTGAAATGAGATGTTTTTAAGTCATATATTACTTATCATTTTTGGATTAAAAAACAACTAAAATAGATGATAAAATGTTATTTAATTTTTAAACAATCAAGCCCTGTGGACATCAATTATTATATTTTTATGTACCTTCAATCTTTAAATTGATATTGGCATATTTTGAGGGGATGTCATAAAACCTCTCACGGTCATAGTGCATTTCATGGGTACATTTGTTAGTGGTAATTAATAATAATAGGCCAATGGTAATCGTCCTATTACTTGTATAGTAATATATTAGTATTAGTAGTAATATTAGTAATAGTAAACCTACAAATTACGAAACTAAAACACTCGTGTACTAGTCCATAAAAAAAAATTATTAACTAATCTAATTTCAAAGTAGTCATGACACTGACAGTAAAATTTACATTTAATTTATGCATTTATCATGTTTTTATGATATATTTTACTTTTAGTACACTTACAAGTCATGGCCAATGGGTTAACATCCATTCTACTGTAGTTTGTCATGGTAAACTTCAAATAATACATCCGCTTGAGAACTCTGATTGCATGCATTCTAACCACATAAACTATGACAATTAAATTGATTATAAAGTGTACACCTTTGCTTATTTACTGTTATTAGTATTATTTGTACTGGAAAGTTACAATCAACTCAACGTCCAGCATCACTGAAGCAGTCAGTTGCTTCAGACGTTACTCTGAAAACCACCTAGTGGTGATTCAATTTCCTTCGATTTTCATAACCCACACACGTTACAAAATACCAGTATCAGAAAAAAAGAAAGAGTTGCACACACACATATATATATATTTATATATATATTATTAACCATCCTGCTTTTCTTTTAATAAATTCTTAAGTTCCCTATTAATTTATATTAAATTGACGAAATACTAAAAATATTAACTAAAGTAATTGTAATAAGAGAATGACTTACCGATTATGCGCATGTACTAAGAAATGGCACAGTATGCAATTCAGCAACTCTACTCTAAATAGCCCCCCAGTGGCACAGCGGTGTGTCTGCGGACTTATACTGCTAAAAACCGAGTTTCGATACCCGTGGTGGGCTGAGCACAGATAGCCCTTTGTATAGCTTTGTGCTTAATAACAAATAACAACTCATCTAAATATATTAGTCAGCTGGCACACGTTTGTAGATGTGTTGTTTTAGTTTGAACTTATGATGATGAGATTATTATTAATACGGATTTTTTGAAATTATTTTTGTGAATTAAGAACCATGCAAAATCTGGATATTACGTATTATCTACTATACTTATTACACAAGTCTCTAGTGACTAGAGTTATGTTCAATTCTGGAATGGAGAGGGTTGAAGTGTAAAGCAAACTTAATGGTAAATCGCATATACTATTCGCCATTGAAATAGCCCGTCAATGTTAATAGTTAGGCTTAATATTTTAAAAGGTCGTGAAAACACTATTGGAAATTTCAAAGGAGATCCCCAGAGACAAAATTAAATCCACTCCATTTAAAGCATTATCCTCTATTTGATTTTCTCTCTCACACATTTTCCTCTTTAATAACCATGTATTCCATTTCCCCTTATAAATGGGGATTACACCCATTCTGATAACCCCGAGTATAGCAACAATATTAAATTTAAAAAAAAGTATTGTTACGACAGCGGAAGTCACGTGACGCTGGTAACACATCATGAGTTTCTAGAAGGATCATGACTGTTCTTGGCAACTTTAGTGTTTGCCAGACGCCCCTATTTTTGTATATAAGCCCGGCAAATAAAGCAGAGGCAGAGTGACGGCATATATAATCGCAGATAGCAGATTGAAGGGAGATATAGAGACAGATAATTGAGTCAAGTGAGCGTTAGTGACCGTAAGTAAAGTGCGTGAATCGTTGTGAATTATAGCGTGTGTTTAAGTTAAAGTGACCGTGGAAATTCTGTGTATTGCAAAGTTGTATTGGGAAAGAATAAACTAGTTTTATTTAAGAAAGGACTTGTATCGCCGAAGTTCCTCGGGAAGAATTTATACCGGAAATTAACAAACGACCAGAGATGTAACAGTATGATATCGCTATCCAATGTTTGAGAATGTAATGTAGATATTAGCAGTTACGAAAAATATATGAAACGTATGAAAGGCAACTGTAATAGCTCTACGTTTACGGTCGTTTATGATTTACCAGCAGCAAATTAATACATGCGCAAAACAAGTACACATATTTTTTAAGAAAATATTGAGAAATTTAAAGAGCGATAAGACTCCTGGGCCAGATAATATTTCCAAAGGGTTTTGAAGAAGGTTAAGGATTGGATATGTGAGCCACTTGCTACTATTTTTTGTAAGTCCTTGAATAGTTGGGCAAGTACCAAAGGATTGGAAGTTAGATAATGCAATTCCTCTTTTCAACGGAGGTAATAAAAATTGTCCCAGTAATTATATATGTAGGGAGATTTTTGGAAAGTCTGATTAAAGATACTTTGCAAAGATATTTGACAAAATTTAGAATTTTATTGGATAGTCAACATGTTTTCACTAAGGGTAAATTTTGCCTTCAACGTCCTTTGACATTCTTCTGCTTATGTAGATGAGGGAAAGAGTGTAGATTTGGTGTACCTGCAAAAGATGCCACATAAAATGCTTAAAAAATAATCTATATAAGTGTGAGGAATAAGTTAGCTAATTGGATAGAGAGTGGCTGGATGGAAGAAAGTAGAGGGTTGTTATAAATTGAGTTCAGTCAAACTGAATTAATGCCACAAGTGGGGTACCTCAGGGCTCAGTCTTAGGACCTTTGCTCTTTTTGATTTACATCAATGATATAGACGAAGGAATAGTCAATAAATTACTTAAATTCGCAGATCATATTAAGGTTTTGGGTTTTGCTAGCTGTGAAGAGGATGCTGCTGATGTATAAAAGAATCTAGATCATTTAGTGAGTTGGGCAAATAAATGGCAAATGGATTTTAGTAATAATAATAAAAGCAAGATAATACATGTGGGTTATCATAATTTGAATTTTAAATATAATTTAGATGGGAATAACCTTAACAGTGTCATGAAAAAAGGGATCTTGGTGTAATGGCTGATCAGTCTCTTAAGCCATCCAAGCAGTGTGCTGTTGCTGGTGGATTTTAAGTTGTACCTACAGAAATATTGAATAGAAATATAAAGAGGTTATAATTTCATACTATAGGTCACTGGTTAGGCCACATTTGAAGTATTGTGTTCAGTCTTGGGCTTCTTACCTTAGGAAGGACATTGAATTGTTGGAAATGGTTCAAAGGAGGGCTACTAGAAAGGTGCCTGGGAAGAAGAGGTTATCACATGAGGACAGGTTGTGAACTCTGAAATTGCTTCCCTCTTGAAAAAGGAGAGTTGGGGAATATCTGATTGAGGTGTTTAAGATTTTAATGAGAATTGATAGTGCTTATGCATGATCTTTTTTCATACTTAACGGCGAGAATAGTACGGGATACAAATATAGATTTTGGGCAAGGTAGGAGTTCAGCTAAGACAGTTGTAATTTTCTAACAGGGTGGTTGGCCTTTGGAATGGATTGCCTTTAGATGTTGTGGAGGCAGTAAATTTAAGTGGGTTTAAGAGAAATCTTGTTAACTATATGAATGATAAGGGCTGGATTTAAGAATTTTTTTAAATTTAGTTATTTAATAATTTTAGTTCAGTTTAAAGGATGGGATAGCTGAGATGGACTAATAAGTCCTTTGTTGTCCCTAAACATTATGTTATGTAAAGTATTGGTTTTTTTTAAGTTAAGCACAAAGCTACACAATTGGCTATCTGTGCTCTCCCACCACGGGTATCGAAACCCGGTTTCTAGTGTTGTAAGTCCC